AATGGGAGAGGAATGTATGTCGTTCCAGTCCAGCCCTAAACAGTTCAAGATGTGCTCAGGTGATGCCTGGTTTTGTTGGCATTTAGGGCAAAGAGGAAAGATCTTTTGATTAGCAGAAAATGTGAGACTTTTCAGGTGTCCACTGACCAGTCGGGATAAGTAAGTGTTGGTCTGCCTGTCACCGGGAAGAGATAGATAGAGTCCTGGTCTTTTTGCTTTATACCAGTAGTGAGTAGGTGGAAGCAGCCACTTTTGTTTGTTCTGGACCTTTTGCCTTGCGAAAAGTTCAAGGTATGTAAGCTCTGAGGTGCAGGGATTAATATTAGTTAATGCATTTATTAATTATTCTTTGTTCTTTTAATAATTTTAAAAGTAGCATTTTCAATCAATGGTGACACGAAAAGTTGCTGACTCCAAATGAGCAAAGTTGCCGAAGGCACCAGGTTCAACAAACTTGAAGGAGAGGTGAGCTCGTGAGAGTGGACCATCTGGCTATCGAAGGCGACTATTAATAATTAAGGCTGATTTTACCATAATTTCCTCACGTGAATCAAACAATTTAGTTATAAGAACTAGGATGATTTGCTAGTCTTCCTCTGAAGCGACCCAGGCAACTCACAAGATGACTGTTTGAACCTAAAAAGGTTAGCTCCATCCAGAACAAACTCCTCCTCGAAAGCAGAATGCCCTTGTCTCTTGGTTGCTAACTTGAAATGTTACAGGGTTCACCGTAAATAGTGGAAGCATTACACAAAATAAAATACCTTGGAGATGACATTTTATAAAGATGTTTTTATACCTGAAATCTTCATACTGAATGTAAACTGGTAATTTTACTCATGTTTTTATTTTTAAAAAAAAACTTAAACAATATAAGTATGAAATTAAGTATGAAATTAATGAAAATAACTAAAACTAATCTTTAAGTAAATAACTGTGAGTAAAATAAAATTACCTTCGTAACAAATGAAAATTACCCAATGAAAGAAGGCTTTAATGCCCGCTACATTTCCTTCTATTCCTCATTTTCTTTGTTATCATTGTTAATTTACTCAAATGTTGATATGCAGTCTTATAATACGTGTTGTAAATTAAAGTGACTTTTTCTAGGAATTTAGAGTGCTTGCAAGGTATTTTACTTATGCAGATAAAATGTATAAAACCGCATCTCTTAGATTCCTATTTTAAGACTTTATAAAAAAAGTTTTAAAACTAAACATGAAACTAAATAAACTGCTTTAATGCTTTAGATCATTTTTCATTTAACTTAATATTATGAGTGGTTTGAGAGAGACATTTTTATGAAGTAGTCTCAAACAAAAAAGCAAGGCAAAGTGAAAAGCAATTATTTACAAATACTTAACTAACGCACGTTTACCCGTTGAGTTACTACTTTTCCGGAACTTTTAGCTGCAAGCTCTTTTTCATCATAAAACCGGTTTAAAGACAGTTATTTTAAATGGCAAAGTGTAAATCTGAATGAAATCGGTCAAACAGTTTCTGATTCATTAAATATCAAAAAGTTTATTGAAAATTTAATTTCTCAGAAACTCATTTGACCAATTTGTTATTTGCCACTCAAAATTTATTTCCTTAAAAGGATGGAAAAAATCGTATGTTTACAATTCTTTTGACTATGCTTAGTTAAAAAACAAAAATGACTAATAAATATTAAAATTATGCTCTACTACTAATTGTGCATCGAAGTTGCCAGGTACACAAATCAAAAAAAGATCACGATTACAATAAAATACATATACAAATAATACATCTAAGTAAAAGACAAAGAAAATAAATAATTATACTTCAACAAATTTGATGAGCGATACAGTGTTTTATTTAATTAACTTCACGTTAATTAAACTAGGAATTATTCTTCCCAACGCCTTATGTAAGGTAAAAATGCTTAATAAAATAAATTATCTGAAACTTAATGCGTATGTGGTAGATAACTCTTTTAAGTTTTACTGAGTTGAATTAACAATTTAACTTTTTGATCAATATAATTACTTACCTTTTTATGATATAATTCTTAACTTCAACAATTTTTCTTCATCGTTCATTTCGGCTTCAATTTTTGAAAAATCATTGCGTGACTGAGTAAACAATCTACGATGCTGTGTTCTCACCTGTTTCAATACTTCCATCTTCACTTAGATCCAGTAATAGTCGCTTTCTAAAATCTCAACAGAAGTCCTGTCACGGACGCCATATGTCAAAAAATACAAAATACAAACTGACTTCAAATTAAACTCAAAAGACTTCGAATCAAATAATTAAGAAACCTACTTTCACGTTTAATTAAAGGAAGATTTATTAGCTCGACAAAAAAATTATCGCATCGCCCTTCCAAAAAAAAAAAAAATTAAAAAATAAAAATCTTACACTCACTCAAAAATCTATTTGCGTTCCAAACTATCGCCATGGCAACCACAAAACTCTTCGCGTTACCAATTATAAACTAATAATAACTAAACTAGGAGGCTTCCCCCCTGCTCGCTGGCGCTCGCTAACCCCCGGAGCTGCTTTCGCAGTTCATTTCTGATTGCTTCGCAATCCGATGCTCGCTTTGCTCACCCGTTGGATACATTCTTAGCGTCTAGCGTTTTGTATACTTTTTTGAACACTGAAGTTCCGAAAACTTTTCACTGTAGAAAATTCTGAACCTGTGCATNCATACGCATATAATATTCCACACTAACTGTAGTGAAGTGTAGTGTGAAAAACTTAAGAAAAAAACACGCGTTAATTTTATACACTTATTAATTAAATTCAAATAATTTAATTTAATTAATATGCAAATTGAATAAAATAGTGCATTATAAAACCCGTACTTTGCTACTAATATTATAATTGGTGATATCCGTTTGTATTCACCGTAGTAATTGTAAGTCTGTTTAGTTGTAATAGTGCACTATAAAACCCGTACTCCGCTACTAATTTTATAATTGGGGAGATAAGTTTGTATACAAAACAGTAGTAATTGTCAGTCTGTTTAGTTGTAATTGTAACCGTAGTAATTGTCAGTCTTAGTTTTTACGTTTTCACGTAGAAACTAAGCAACAAATCTCCGTGATCTTGTGCGATGATAAAATTGGAGGTCTAGCTAGCTAGAGAGTTGACCCAGGCTAGGCTACAATTTACAGTGGAAAAATACTTTTTTGTTACAAAATAAAATCTTACACGCAGAGAAAATAAAAATGTACTCTGACGCGGTGCTGCAGGTATCTGCTAGTTTATAATAATTCAGTTTCATATATCAAAAAATAATCCTAATGACTTAAATTTTAATAAAATTTTTACTTCATAGCTACTTTTATAAATTATGTAGAATGTAGATAGATATATGTCTTTTTATTATAAGTTAGTATAATGTAAGTAAGTAAGTACTATCAGTGTATGTTGATTATTCCATTCATGAAATGCCAAAATTGTAAGTCTCGACCTGCTTATGAATGATGTTTTCTGCACTAGGGAACGCTGCAAGCTCCCTACCGCCTATACTTCCGGGTTACTGTCTCTGGTGTATTTTAAAGCCATTGGTGGCTTACAGCGTGATTATTGTGTTTTGAGATTCTTGCAAAGATGATATTTGATTACTTATTACTTGTGTTTACAATGCTAGAGGTGCTAACACTAACGTTAAGATGGTGCACAGCTTGCAGCAATAAAAAACAGTAATAAACAAATAGAAAGAGGCCAAATCAGGACTGCCAAAAAAGTGAGTTATTCAAAATCTAGCAACCATGCCACCTTTTTTAACAATATATCGCACAAATTTTCGGAGAATATCTTGGTAGTTGCAGAACGCAATCTTCTCTTGACCAGTTCAAAATTATCTGGTAAAGGTACGCAATCATTTCGCCAAGGCCTCATAACGCTCTTCATTACTGTATGGGCTTCAAAAATTCTTTCCTTAGTAGAAGGCTCCTGTTGATCTTTTGGCAACTTTACCATTGGATCATTGAACCCAACGAAGTCTAACTCCCAAAAATCAGACATATTAGTTTCTTTTACAAAAAGTGAAGTGACAAGCATGGCAGAGATAGACTCGTCTTCTTTTTGTGGAATTTTACCAAATTCGGAAATGTCAGATGATTTTCAAAAAAGTGTCCATCCTAACAACGTTTCTATGGCTGTTAGTCCCGAAGTGAAGTTAAGGATTTTCCCAGTCATGATCTTTCCTGCTATGTCAGCACTAATAAGCATATGAACTGTAGAGGAATAAAAAGAAGAACTTTCTTTATCTGATAAATGAATTCTATTATCTTCCAATTCCTGCGTCAAAACCTCCGATACCATTTGATGCATTTCTGAGCAAATCTTCTCTTGATCAAAAACTTTGAAAGTGCAATGATTAACTCTTTGTAACATCACTCACGTAGATCTTGTATTCTAAATGCTTCTATTTATTTTCAATTCCCCCAAATAAAGTATGGATGAGAGTCGTTTATTTCAAGATACGAAATTACATTTTCTCAGCAGCCTCCTTCGTAATGTATGACTTATGGCTTTCAGTGTTTATGAGAGCTCTTACAGCAAAATCCTCTGTTTCACCTCGAAGCAGCACAAAAAAAAGTCTGAAGAAAAATATTTAAGGAACATGAAGCATTGGACAATGTGCTAAAATGTTCAATCCTCTTGACATCAGTTGTTTCTTTAAAATTGAGAGTCCAATTATTCTTTCCATCAGGGCACATAACAACATGATGTCTTTTCTTACAATTTATTCGAACCCTGCAGAGTTTAGACAGATGACCAATATTCAAACATTTAAAGCAACAACGATGTTTCTTAAGTTTGGGAATTTTTTCATTCAAATCCATATTTCGAGCAAACTGACAATCGTGGCTTCATGGTTTTCTCTGTCACAGAAGACTTATTTCAATTAAAACTTCTATTTCCTAAAAAAAATCTTGCAGCAGTTGGAATGTCTCTTTTAACTTTAGACTACTTCGTATTTTCCTTCAAAGAGAAACCTTGCATAACAAGAGCAATTCTCTTCATTCTCAACCTTATTTTTTAAGAAATTCATTAAACTTTCTAATCGAACTTTTCATCAGCCCCTTTTCATTTCTGTGCCAAGCTCTAAGTACTTCTTCACGTAAACATGAATCCACGAGGGGAAATAACATGGCAGCGCATTTTACTGTGGTTACACCTAGAGTTTCTTATGATCTTAGTTGTGTTTCAATACGGTCGTAAATAGTTGATAATTTAATCTGTTTATCTTTAGAGTTAAAAGCCAAAGTAAGTTTTAACAGCTCCCGAACATAATACTCAACCAAGAAGTCATCTTTGCCGAACCAAGATTTCAAACAGTCAATGGCCTTTGGATAATTTCCAGAAGACGGGGAGAGCTTTCAACTAATTCGCGAGCTGTGGATTTCTGAATAGTAGCCTGTACTAAATATTTTATTTTATTATTTTGATGGAGTTAATCCACATTTGCGTTACATGGAGAGGAAGACCACGAGAACCTCCCACTGTTAGCCTGACGGCAAGGAGACTTTAACCCATGATCCGTCTACCACAGAGGATATTTCACGTCAGTACTGTTGTCGGCGCAAGCCGGATGCGGAATTCGACTGGGATTCGAACCCCGTTCGCCGCATTGGAAGGCAAATGCTCTATCCATTGAGCCATCGCGGCTCTGTACTAAATATTGAAACTTGTCAGTTTCATCAATATCGGCGTCTTCATCTTTTTTTTTTTTTTTTTTTTTTTTTTTTTTTTTTTTTTGGTATTGTCCCCAAAATGGAAGCCAAACCTTAATTTCTCCGCCAAACTTCTTCAGTTCTAAACGTGGGAGTTTAAATTTTCACTTTATATTTTCCCTAATTGCCGATTGTGTATCTATGTCAGTACTCAAATAAACTTTTCGATCAAATAATAGGTTCATTTTCTTAAATTTATAAGAATACTCATCAGCCAATCTAGCTTCCTTTTCAATGACATCTTCTTCAATATTTTCCGATATTTCAAATGAATTTAAAATTTCTTCATTCAAAGTCAATAGCAGTTCGTTTTTCTCTCTGAGAAGTTAAAATGTCGACAAACAATCTATATTCTCCGATATGTCAACTTCCTCTTTTGCGGCAATAACATTGTACAACCGAGTAAATGCAGCTCTTATAGACTTCCGTTTTAATTTAAAAACTTCTATAATTGTCATCAAGCAAACACTTCTTTAAAATATCGATAAAATTCAAAATGGTTGACAATTATCGTCAAAAGTCACTTGCCTTTCTGAGTTCGTTTCATCAAATTTCAAAACACAAACAGTCCTGTCGTGGACGCCATTATGTCACATAAGGCAATAAGATTCTTTTACTCTTTCTTCAAAATAAATATTCAGATGTTTAACTTTACAAAATTACTTTTATTTACAAGAATTTTAAAAACGATATACATATTTTTTTTCGTGTAACATCGAGTGCTGCCACTCTCTTAAAAGTGAAACTTAATGAAAATATTACAATCATTTCAGATCACTTCTACTAATAAATTAAATGCAACATTTATAAAAACTTTGCATCATTCTCTCTGTAAAAATAAGCTCAATTTTTTCTTGATATTAGCTTTTAAACTTTATACAATTAACACATTCTTTGAAAAACATAGTTTAAAAAATTTTCTTGGCAAAAATAATAAATTAAATTCCATTTAAAACCAATAAAAATATTTTACTAGTTGTCGTAAATGACGCTATAAATAATTTATTTTAAAATTTTCAGTTTTAACTTCTATTATTAAGCTTTTATTTTTTAACTTTTAATTTTATTAACTTTTATTTTTATTCTTATTTTAGTACACTTTTTTAATTCGCGATCGCAACGAACTATAGGGGGCGTTGTTGTATGAGACGAATACCTGCGATTTCTATATGCACAGTCACTCAGTTACTCTGGAGATGTCTTTAATGTAGCGTGTAGCATTGTAACGCTCCTTCTTTATTGTGGCCAATTAAATTTAAAAAAGAAAATTTTTTGATATTCTTCCTTATGCAAACGAAAACAAAATAGTATCTCTCTTTTTTAAGAAGGAACATCCAAAACACATCGGAAAAATATTTGCACATAAACAGAAAAAAATGTGTATATTCTTATAAGAGTTAAAACCTAATGTCCGAGAAAT